CAGACACACACACAGACACACACACAGACACACACACAGACACACACACAGACACACACACAGACACACACTCACAGACACACACTCACAGAGACTCACACACTCACACAGACACTCACACACACACTCACACAGACACTCACACACACACAGAGACTCACACATACACTCACACAGACACTCACACACACACACACACAGACACACACGCAGAGACTCCACCACCTCCACCTCCTTGTGCGGGATGTACGTGGCTGGCAGGGGCAGCGGTGGTTAGCACACACACACAGACACTCACACAGACACTCACACAGAGACTCACACAGAGACTCACACAGACACTCACTCACACATACACTCACACAGACACACACACAGACACACACACAGACACTCACTCATACACTCACACAGAGACTCACACAGAGACTCACACAGAGACTCACACAGAGACTCACACAGACACTCACTCATACACTCACTCATACACTCATTCATACACTCACTCATACACTCACACAGACACTCACACACAGACTCACACACACAGACTCACACATACACTCACACACAGACTCACACATACACTCACACAGAGACTCACACAGACACTCACTCACACATACAGACACTCACACAGACACTCACTCATACACTCATACAGACACTCACACACACACACTCTCACAGAGACTCACTCATACACTCACACAGACACTCACTCACACACTCACTCATACACTCACACAGACACTCACACAGAGACTCACACAGACACTCACACAGACACACACACAGAGACTCACACATACACTCACACAGAGACTCACACAGACACTCTCACACACACACACTCATACACTCACACACCCACACAGACACACACACAGACACACACTCACTCACACAGACACACAGACACTCACACAGAGACTCACTCATACACTCACACTCACTCACACACTCACACTCACTCACACACTCACTCATACACTCACACAGACACTCACACAGAGACTCACACATACACTCACACACTCACACACACACTCACAGACACTCTCACACACACACTCATACAGACACTCATACAGACACACACACAGACACACACACACTCATACAGACACACACACAGACACTCTCACACACACACAGACACTCACACAGACACTCACACACTCACTCATACACTCACACAGACACTCACACAGAGACTCACTCATACACTCACACAGACACTCACTCACACACTCACTCATACACTCACACAGACACTCACACACTCACTCACACACTCACTCATACACTCACACAGACACTCACACAGACACTCACACACTCACTCATACACTCACACAGACACTCACACAGAGACTCACACAGAGACTCACACAGACACTCACACAGAGACTCACACACTCACACACAGAGACTCACACACAGAGACTCACTCATACACTCACACAAACACTCACTCACACACTCACTCATACACTCACACAGACACTCACACAGACACTCACACAGACACTCACACAGACACTCACACAGACACACACACAGACACACACACTCACACACTCACTCATACACTCACACAGACACACACACAGAGACTCACACAGACACTCACACACACACGCACTCACACATACACTCACACACACACACTCACAGAGACTCACACAGACACTCACACACACACGCACTCACACATACACTCACACACACACACACACAGACACTCACACAGACACTCACACAGACACTCACACAGACACTCATACACACACTCACACAGACACTCACACACTAACACACACTCACACATACACACACACTCTCACAGAGACTCCACCACCTCCACCTCCTTGTGCGGGATGTACGTGGCTGGCGGGGGAGCGGTGGTGCAGTGGTTAGCACACTCACACAGGGAGACACAGGGAGACAGAGAGAGACACAGGGAGACAGAGAGAGACACAGGGAGACACAGGGGGAGACACAGGGAGACACAGGGGGAGACACAGGGGGAGACACAGGGAGACAGACAGAGACACAGGGAGACACAGGGAGACACAGGGAGACAGAGAGAGACACAGGGAGACAGAGAGAGACACAGGGAGACAGAGAGAGACACAGGGAGACAGAGAGAGACACAGGGAGACACAGGGAGACAGAGAGAGACACAGGGAGACACAGGGAGACACAGGGAGACAGAGAGAGACACAGGGAGACAGAGAGAGACACAGGGAGACACAGGGAGACAGAGAGAGACACAGGGAGACAGAGAGAGACACAGGGAGACACAGGGAGACACAGGGAGACAGAGAGAGACACAGGGAGACAGAGACACAGGGAGACACAGGGAGACACAGGGAGACAGAGAGAGACACAGGGAGACACAGGGAGACACAGGGAGACACAGGGAGACACAGGGAGACAGAGAGAGACACAGGGAGACACAGGGAGACACAGGGAGACAGAGAGAGACACAGGGAGACAGAGACACAGGGAGACACAGGGAGACACAGGGAGACAGAGAGAGACACAGGGAGACAGAGACACAGGGAGACACAGGGAGACACAGGGGTCTCACCAGGACCCTGGAAGAGAGAGACACAGGGGGACACAGGGAGACACAGGGAGACACAGGGAGACAGAGAGAGACACAGGGAGACAGAGAGAGAGACACAGGGAGACACAGGGAGACACAGGGAGACAGAGAGAGACACAGGGAGACAGGGAGACACAGGGAGACACAGGGAGACAGAGAGAGACACAGGGTGACACAGGGAGACACAGGGGGAGACACAGGGGGAGACACAGGGAGACACAGGGAGACACAGGGAGACACAGGGAGACACAGAGAGAGAGACACAGGGGGACACAGGGAGACACAGGGTGAGGGACAGAGAGAGACACAGGGAGACACAGGGAGACACAGAGAGACACTGGGAGACACAGGGGGAGACACAGGGAGACACAGGGAGACACAGGGGGACACAGGGAGACACAGGGAGACACAGGGAGACAGAGAGAGACACAGGGAGACACAGGGAGACACAGGGAGACAGAGAGAGACACAGGGAGACACAGGGAGACACAGGGAGACACAGGGAGACAGGGGTCTCACCAGGACCCTGGAAGAGAGAGAGAGACACAGGGAGACACAGGGAGACACAGGGGGAGACAGGGAGACACAGGGAGACACAGGGAGACACAGGGAGACAGGGGTCTCACCAGGACCCTGGAAGAGAGAGAGACACAGGGAGACACAGGGAGACACGGGGGACACAGGGAGACACAGGGAGACACAGGGAGACAGAGGGAGACACAGGGAGACACAGGGAGACAGGGGGAGACACAGGGAGACACAGGGAGACAGGGGTCTCACCAGGACCTGGAAGAGAGAGAGACACAGGGAGACACAGGGAGACACAGGGAGACACAGGGAGACACAGGGAGACACAGGGAGACAGGGGTCTCACCAGGACCCTGGAAGAGAGAGAGAGACACAGGGAGACACAGGGAGACACAGGGAGACAGGGGTCTCACCAGGACTCTGGAAGAGAGAGAGAGACACAGGGAGACACAGGGAGACACAGGGAGACAGAGACACAGGGAGACAGAGAGACACAGGGAGACACAGGGAGACACAGGGAGACAGGGGTCTCACCAGGACCCTGGAAGAGAGAGAGAGACACAGGGAGACACAGGGAGACACAGGGAGACACAGGGAGACACAGGGGGATACAGGGGGACACAGGGAGACACAGGGAGACACAGGGAGACAGAGAGAGACACAGGGAGACACAGGGAGACACAGGGGGACACAGGGAGACACAGGGAGACACAGGGAGACAGAGAGAGAGACACAGGGAGACACAGGGAGACAGAGAGAGACACAGGGAGACACAAGGAGACAGAGAGAGACACAGGGAGACAGAGAGACACAGGGAGACACAGGGAGACACAGGGAGACACAGGGGGGCACAGGGAGACACAGGGAGACACAGAGAGACACAGGGAGACAGAGAGACACAGGGAGACACAGGGAGACACAGGGAGACACAGGGAGACACAGGGGGACACAGGGAGACACAGGGAGACACAGAGAGACACAGGGAGACAGGGTCTCACCAGGACCCTGGAAGAGAGAGAGAGAGACACAGGGAGACACAGGGAGACACAGGGAGACACAGGGAGACACAGGGAGACACAGGGAGACACAGGGAGACAGGGGGTCTCACCAGGACCCTGGAAGAGAGAGAGAGACACAGGGAGACACAGGGAGACACAGGGAGACACAGGGAGACACAGGGAGACAGGGGTCTCACCAGGACCCTGGAAGAGAGAGAGACACACAGGGAGACACAGGGAGACACAGGGAGACACAGGGAGACACAGGGAGACAGGGGGTCTCACCAGGACCCTGGAAGAGAGAGAGAGACACAGGGAGACACAGGGAGACACAGGGAGACACAGGGAGACACAGGGACACAGGGAGAGACACAGGGAGACACAGGGAGACACAGGGAGACACAGGGAGACAGGGAGAGACACAGGGAGACACAGGGAGACACAGGGAGACACAGGGAGACACAGGGACACAGGGAGACAGGGGGAGACACAGGGAGACAGAGAGAGACACAGGGAGACACAGGGAGACACAGGGAGACACAGGGAGACAGGGGTCTCACCAGGACCCTGGAAGAGAGAGACACAGGGAGACACAGGGAGACACAGGGAGACACAGGGAGACACAGGGAGACACAGGGAGACAGGGGTCTCACCAGGACCCTGGAAGAGAGAGAGAGACACAGGGAGACACAGGGAGACACAGGGAGACACAGGGAGACAGAGACACAGGGAGACACAGGGAGACAGAGAGAGACACAGGGAGACACAGGGAGACACAGGGAGACACAGGGAGACAGAGAGAGACACAGGGAGACACAGAGAGACACAGGGAGACACAGGGAGACAGGGGGTCTCACCAGGACCCTGGAAGAGCCACTCGTCCCCTGCAAGGCGCCGCTCGCCAGAGTCGTCCTCGTGGTCGATCAGCGCACGGAGACGCAGAGCAGAGTCCACCGGGACGACTCGGAGCGGAGACACCGCCTAGGGGGAGGGGGGAGACACTCACCAGCTCACTCACCACTCACCAGCTCACCTACTCACCTACTCACTCACCTACTCACTCACCAGCTCACTCACCTACTCACTCACTCACCTACTCACTCACCTACTCACTCACCCACTCACTTACCTACTCACCTACTCACTCACTCACCCACTCACTCACCTACTCACTCACCTACTCACTCACCCACTCACTCATCTACTCACCTACTCACTCACTCACCCACTCACCCACTCACTCACCCACTCACTCACCTACTCACCCACCCACTCATTCACTCACCCACTCACCCACTCACTCACCCACTCACTCACCCACCAACCCACCTACCCACCCACCAACCCCCCCACCCACCCACCAACCCCCCCACCAACCCCCCACCCACCCACCAGCTGTAACTCCTCCCCCGGGTACAGCGGGAAGGGCTCCTGGCACAGACGGATCTCACACCCACCCACCCACTAACCCACCCACTAACCCACCCACTCACCCACTCACTCACTCACCCACTCACTCAATCACCCACTCACCCACCCACTCACTCACTCACCCACCCACTCACTCACCCACCCACTCACTCACCCACCCACTCACTCACCCACCCACCCACTCACCCACCCACTCACTCACCCACTCACTCACTCACTCACCCACTCACCCACCTACCCACCCACCCACCCACCAACCCCCCCACCCACCCACCCACCAGCTGTAACTCCTCCCCCGGGTACAGCGGGAAGGGCTCCTGGCACAGACGGATCTCACTCACACTCACCCACCCACTCACCCACCCACCAACCCCCCCACCCACCCACCCACCAGCTGTAACTCCTCCCCCGGGTACAGCGGGAAGGGCTCCTGGCACAGACGGATCTCACTCACCCACTCACCCACCAACTAACCCACCCACTCACTCACTCACCCACTCACCCACTCACTCACCCACTCACTCACCCACCCACTCACTCACCCACCCACCCACCAACCCACCCACCCACCAACCCCCCCACCAACCCCCCCACCCACCCACCAGCTGTAACTCCTCCCCCGGGTACAGCGGGAAGGGCTCCTGGCACAGACGGATCTCACTCACCCACTCACCCACCAACTAACCCACCCACTCACTCACTCACCCACTCACCCACTCACTCACCCACTCACTCACCCACTCACTCACTCACCCACCCACCCACCAACCCACCCACCCACCAACCCACCCACCAACCCCCCCCACCCACCCACCAGCTGTAACTCCTCCCCCGGGTACAGCGGGAAGGGCTCCTGGCACAGACGAATCTCACGGTCAGCGTGCCTCAGCTTGGCCTGCCCGCTGGCATCCAGCACGGGGTTGGAGTCACGGTCCCTCGCCACGGGGTTCTCCACCACGCAGTAGTGGCGGGGTGGGACCCTGACCATGCGGGCCGGGGGGAACAGCACCCTGGGGGAGATGGGGGGAGATAGGGGGGGAGATAGGGGGAGAGATATTGAGAGAGAGAGAGAGATGGGTGAGTGTGGTTGTGTGGTAGTGGTGGGGTCAAACCCTCACCATGCGGGCCGGGGGGAACAGCACCCTGGGGGAGAAGGGGGGAGATAGGGGGAGATAGGGGGAGATAGGGGGGAGATGGGGGGGAGATAGGGGGGAGATAGCGGGAGATGGGGAGGAGATGGGGGGAGAGATAGGGGGGGATAGGGGGGAGATAGGGGGAGATGGGGGGGAGATAGGGGGGAGATAGGGGGGGAGATGGGGGGAGATAGGGGGGAGATAAAGAGGGAGATAGGGGGAGATGGGGGGGAGATAGGGGGGAGATAGGGGGAGAGATATTGAGTGAGAGAGAGAGAGTGAGAGATGGGTGAGTGTGGTTGTGTGGTAGTGGTGGGGTCAAACCCTCACCATGAGGGCCGGAGCGAACAGCACCCTGGGGGAGATAGGGGGGGGGGAGATAGGGGGGAGATGGGGGGAGATGGGGGGGATAGGGGGGGATAGGGGGGAGATAGGGGGGAGATGTGGGGGAGATAGGGGGGGAGATAGGGGGGGAGATAGGGGGGGAGATGGGGGGAGATGGGAGAGATGGGGGGGAGATAGGGGGAGATAGGGGGAGATGGGGGGGAGATAGGGGGAGAGGGGGGGGAGATAGGGGGAGATGGGGGGGAGATAGGGGGAGATGGGGGGGAGATAGGGGGAGATGGGGGGGAGATAGGGGGAGATGGGGGGGAGATAGGGGGAGATGGGGGGGAGATAGGGAGGAGATAGGGGGGGAGATGGGGGGAGATGGGGGGAGATGGGGGGGAGATGGGGGGGAGATAGGGGGGAGATGGGGTGAGAGATATTGAGTGAGAAAGAGAGAGATGGGTGAGTGTGGTTGTGTGGTAGTGGTGGGGTCGGACCCTCACCATGAGGGCCGGAGCGAACAGCACCCTGGGGGAGATAGGGGGGGGAGATGGGGGGAGATAGGGGGGGAGATAGGGGGGAGATAGGGGGGAGATAGGGGGAGATGGGGGGAGATGTGGGGAGATAGGGGGAGATAGGGGGAGATGTGGGGAGATAGGGGGAGATAGGGGGGAGATAGGGGGGAGATAGGGGAGATAGAAGGGAGATGTGGGAGATAGGGGGGAGATAGGGGGGAGATAGGGGGAGAGATGGGGGGGAGATGGGGGGGAGATAGGGGGCTAAAGTGGCCCCTCGGGATAGAGTCATCTTGTTGGGTGACTTCAATGCCCGAGTTGGTCACGATGCTGGCACCTGGTCTGGAGTGATTGGAGGGCATGGGCCAGATCAGCTCAATAACAACGGTAGGAGGCTGCTAGACTATTGTGCAGCCCATGGGCTTGTAATTACCAACACGCTGTTCTGGCATCGGCGCATCCACACAACATCATGGATGCATGCCGGGTCCAAGCAAGAACATCTGCTGGACTACGTAGTGACGGACCAGTGGATGCGGGCCCATGTCCTTGACACCAGGACCTACCGTGGAGCTGATCTGCCCTCTGACCATCGACTAGTCATCTGTAAGATGCGCCTGCCATTCTTCCACTCCGGTGGTGGGTGTACACCCAGGACCCCATTCAAACCCACAGTGGCCTGGTCTCAGCTAGCTGATGATAGTTACAGCGAGAATTTCATCATCGCTTGCGGCTGGGGTTGGCATCGTCCCCCACTCCTCCAGATTTCGAGGGAAAATGGGCGAGGTTTAGGACTGTGACTCATGCAGCTGCAATGGCTGCTTTTGTAATGCAGTCCAGACCTCCCCAGAGACCCTGGCTGACAGAAGAAGTGTTCAAGCTGGCTGAGAAAAAGCGACAGGCCCACTCTCATCGACTACAGCATCCCAAATCGGAGAATGAGGAGGCTTACCGCAGCCTTCGCTCGGAGGTTCGGAGAGCCGTGAGGCGCTGCAAGGATGGGTGGTGGTCGCAGGTTGCTGAGGAGATGGAGTTTGCCTCAATGGCCCGTGATCACAAATCTCTATTTAACTCCATCAAAAAAGTAACCTGCAGCGCCACACCCATTACCATCATTAGGGGAAAAAACGGTGATTCAATCTCCAACCCCCAGGAACAGGTTTGCAGATTTGCTGAGCATTTCTGTGAAGTCCTGGGGGAAGGGAAATCCCTCCACATGGAAAACATCGTGGGACAAAGTGGGGATGACCCTGCTGAGGCTGCGGTGCCTGAAATATTGGAAGAAGAAGTCACCCCCTGTGAGTGGCTGGCTGAGGTGCCATCTGTTGAGGAAGTACTGAAAGCGATCCAGAGTCTGAGACCAGGAAAGGCACCAGGCAGAGATGATCTCCCAAGCGAAATGCTGAGGGAGGGTGGCGTTTGTGCACAGACTGCCCTACGTGACATCATAACAACAGTCTGGACCACTGGACGGGTTCTGCAGGATTGGAAGGATGCCCTGGTGGTCCCCCTCTTTAAGAAGGGGGACCGCACAGACTGTAACAACTACAGGGGCATCTCACTCCTCAGTGTGCCGGGAAAGGCCTTGGCAAGGATCATTTAACATCGCCTCGCCAGGCACGCTGAGGAGAGGCTTGCGGAGCCCCAATGCGCTTTCAGGAAAGGGCGGTCCTGCACAGTTGCCATATTTTCTGTCTGTTTGCTACAGCAGAGGTGTAGGGAATTCCAACAAGACCTACATCTCTGCTTTATTGACCTAGTCAAGGCCTATGATACCATCAGTAGGCCTGGGCTCTGGGTTGTTCTTCGTGCTTTTGGAGTCCCTGACCCTCTGTTCACGATCATTAAGTGGTGGTGAGCGGGCCCGGGTAAAACTACGTGGCCGGGAGTCGGAGCCGTTCCCTGTTAACCTTGGGGTGTGACAGGGATGTCCTCTGGCTCCCACATTATTTAACATCTATTTTGACCACGTAGTTCGTGAAGCCTTCAGTAGCTGTACCGGAGGAATTTCAATCTGGTACAGATACAATGGGAGGCTGATCGATGCCCGGGTGGGGTCAAGGGATGGCTCCCTATTGCTCAACCACGTTATGTATGCCGATGACCTGGTAATTGCGGCTCACTCAGAGGAGGAGTTTGAGGCGCTGCTGCTGAAACTGGAGTGTACCACTAAGAGGTGGGGCCTTACCATCAGCCCCACCAAAACTAAGCACCTGCCTGGGTATTTTGTACCATCGGACACTCCACCCCCGCAACTCCCAATCGGTGATGGGGCAGTTGTGGAGAGAGTGGAGAGTTTCCCATACCTAGGCAGTGTGCTCATGACCGGCTCCAGTTTAACAGCAGAGCTCTCACTCCGAATCAGTCGAGCGGCAATATCTTTTCATCGGTTGCGTAACGCTGTGTGGAAGCTACCTGGTCTGTCGCTCCGCACTAAGCTTCAGGTCTTCTCGGCCACGGTCATTCCCTCCCGTCTCTACGCTTGCGAAACGTGGACCCCCCTAATGGAACATCGTCGCCGGTTAGAAACATTTAGGCTGGCCTGCCTACGATCCATCCTGGGTTTAACCTGCAGGCTGGATTGTGTGAGGAGCTCACAAATCCTCGAAAGATCTGGGCAAAGGTCCCATCGGTGAGCTCCTCCGGCGGGCAAGGCTGCGATGGCTGGGTCACGTAGCCCGCGTGCCCAGCCACCGCGTGCCGAAACAGCTTTTGTTCGGCCGCATCGAGGGGGCTAAAACGGGCGCGGCACGGGCTAGAGAAGAGACGGAGTGACGTGGTACGGGAGGACGTGGAGCCGAGCGGGCTTGCCGATGACCGGTACCAGCGGCGTCAAGATCGGCCTCCGTGGAGGAGGAGGCTCGTGAAACGACGCTGCTACTGGGCAGTTGGAGGCAGTCGCCCTCCAACAACAAACGGAGCGGGGGCGGAGGAGCGACGCTCACAACACCGCCGGGTGGCGTGGACCCGCGGAACCTGCCGGGCACGCGCCCTTTGACCTCCTCTCCTGCTGCCCAGCGGGGGGGGGCCGTCGCGGTGAATGGGCGACCGGTCACCTCTCATTGTCGGGGCGAATGTACGTGCGAGGCCCCAGCTCCAGGCGCGTGATGTTGGAGCTGAGGTCGAGGACGTGAGTGTAGTGATGTGGCGGGATCCGCACGATCGCCTCCTCCGCCATGGCCCTGACGATGACGCTTGCTGACCAGGACGTCGGCTCCTGAACACGCCGACGGCGATGACGACGATGACGGCGACGGCAAGGTAAAGGTGCCCCGTGTAGCCTCTAGCAAGGGGGGGTGTAGAGGGGCAAGTGCTGTCAGTAGCAGCAGCAGCGCCTATAGACACAAAGACAAAGCTCCCCCGTGTAGCCTCTAGCAAGGATGCAGGGGCAAGTGCTGTCAGTAGCAGCAGCAGCGCCTATAGACACACAGACAAAGCTCCCCCAGGTAGCCTCTAGAAGGGTTGCAGGGGCAAGTGCTATCAGTAGCGAGTAGCGGCGCCTTATACACATCACACAGATAAAGGTGCCCCGTGTAGCCTCTAGCAGGGCTGCAGGGGCAAGTGCTGTCAGTAGCAGCAGCGCCCATAGACACAAAGACAAAGCTTCCCCAGGTAGCCTCTAGCAGGGGTGGAGGGGCAAGTGCTGTCAGCAGGGAGTAGCAGCAGCGCCCATAGACACAAAGACAAAGCTTCCCCAGGTAGCCTCTAGCAGGGGTGGAGGGGCAAGTGCTGTCAGCAGCGAGTAGCAGCAGCGCCTATACACATCACACAGATAAAGGTGCCCCGTGTAGCCTCTAGCAGGGCTGTAGGGGCAAGTGCTATCAGTAGCAGCAGACGCGCCCATATACACAAAGACAAAGCTCCCCCAGGTAGGCTCTAGCAGCGCAGTAGGGGCAAGTGCTGTCAGCAGCAGCATCTCCCATAGACACAAAGACAAAGCTCCCCCAGGTAGCCTCTAGCAAGGCTGTAGGGGCAAGTGCTGTCAGTAGCGAGTAGCAGCGCCTATACACATCACACAGGTAAAGGTGCCCCATGTAGCCTCTCACAGAGACCCACAGACTCACCACACACAGAGACCCATAGACTCACTCACATAGAGACCCACAGACTCACCACACACAGAGACCCACAGACTCACTCACACAGAGACCCATAGACTCACTCACACAGAGACCCATAGACTCACTCACACAGACACCCATAGACTCACTCACACAGAGACCCATAGACTCACTCACACAGACAGCCATAGACTCACTCACACAGAGACCCATAGACTCACCACACACAGAGACCCATAGACTCAGTAACACAGAGACCCACAGACTACCTCACACAGAGACTCACTCACACAGAGACCCACAGACTCACTCACACAGAGACCCATAGACTCACTAACACACAGAGACCCACAGACTCACCACACATAGAGACTCATAGACTCACTCACACAGAGACCCATAGACTCACCACACAGAGACCCATAGACTCACTCACACAGAGACCCATAGACTCACTCACACAGAGACCCATAGACTCACTCACACAGAGACCTACAGACTCACTACACACAGAGACCCATAGACTCACTCACATAGAGACCCATAGACTCACTCACACAGAGACCCACAGACTCACTCACACAGAGACCCACAGACTCACTCACATAGAGACCCATAGACTCACCACACAGAGACCCACAGACTCACTACACACAGAGACCCACAGACTCACTACACACAGAGACCCATAGACTCACTCACACAGAGACCCATAGACTCACCACACACAGAGACCCATAGACTCACTCACATAGAGACCCATAGACTCACTCACACAGAGACCCATAGACTCACTCACATAGAGACCCATAGACTCACTCACACAGAGACCCATAGACTCACTCACACAGAGACCCATAGACTCACTAACACAGAGACCCACAGACTACCTCACACAGAGACTCACCACACACAGAGACCCACAGACTCACTCACATAGAGACTCATAGACTCACTCACACAGAGACCCACAGACTCACTACATAGAGACCCACAGACTCACTCACACATAGAGACTCATAGAATCACTCACACAGAGACCCATAGACTCACCACACAGAGACCCACAGACTCACCACACACAGAGACCCATAGACTCACTCACACATAGAGACCCACAGACTCACTCACACAGAGACCCATAGACTCACTCACACAGAGACCCATAGACTCACCACACACAGAGACCCATAGACTCACCACACACAGAGACCCATAGACTCACTCACACAGAGACTCATAGACTAACTCACACAGAGACCCATAGACTCACTCACATAGAGACCCATAGACTCACTCACACACAGACCCATAGACTCACCACACACAGAGACCCATAGACTCACTCACACAGAGACCCATAGACTCACTCACACAGACCCATATACTCACTCACATAGAGAACCACAGACTCACTCACACATAGAGACCCATAGACTCACTCACATAGAGACCCACAGACTCACTCACACAGAGACCCATAGACTCACTAACACACAGAGACCCACAGACTCACCACACATAGAGACTCATAGACTCACTCACACAGAGACCCATAGACTCACCACACAGAGACCCATAGACTCACTCACACAGAGACCCATAGACTCACTCACACAGAGACCCATAGACTCACTCACACAGAGACCTACAGACTCACTACACACAGAGACCCATAGACTCACTCACATAGAGACCCATAGACTCACTCACATAGAGACCCACAGACTCACTCACACAGAGACCCACAGACTCACTCACATAGAGACCCATAGACTCACCACACAGAGACCCACAGACTCACTACACACAGAGACCCACAGACTCACTACACACAGAGACCCATAGACTCACTCACACAGAGACCCATAGACTCACCACACACAGAGACCCATAGACTCACTCACATAGAGACCCATAGACTCACTCACACAGAGACCCATAGACTCACTCACATAGAGACCCATAGACTCACTCACACAGAGACCCATAGACTCACTCACACAGAGACCCATAGACTCACTAACACAGAGACCCACAGACTACCTCACACAGAGACTCACCACACACAGAGACCCACAGACTCACTCACATAGAGACTCATAGACTCACTCACACAGAGACCCACAGACTCACTACATAGAGACCCACAGACTCACTCACACATAGAGACTCATAGAATCACTCACACAGAGACCCATAGACTCACCACACAGAGACCCACAGACTCACCACACACAGAGACCCATAGACTCACTCACACATAGAGACCCACAGACTCACTCACACAGAGACCCATAGACTCACTCACACAGAGACCCATAGACTCACCACACACAGAGACCCATAGACTCACCACACACAGAGACCCATAGACTCACTCACACAGAGACTCATAGACTAACTCACACAGAGACCCATAGACTCACTCACATAGAGACCCATAGACTCACTCACACACAGACCCATAGACTCACCACACACAGAGACCCATAGACTCACTCACACAGAGACCCATAGACTCACTCACACAGACCCATATACTCACTCACATAGAGAACCACAGACTCACTCACACATAGAGACCCATAGACTCACTCACATAGAGACCCATAGACTCACTCACACAGAGACCCATAGACTCACCACACACAGAGACCCACAGACTCACTCACATAGAGACCCACAGACTCACTCACACATAGAGACTCATAGACTCACTCACACAGAGACCCATAGACTCACTCACACAGAGACCCACAGACTCACTCACACAGAGACCCACAGACTCACCACACACAGAGACCCACAGACTCACCACACACAGAGACCCACAGACTCACTCACATAGAGACCCACAGACTCACCACACACAGAGACCCACAGACTCACTCACACACAGAGACCCATAGACTCACTCACACATAGAGACTCGCAGACTCACCACACACAGAGACCCACAGACTCACCACACACAGAGACCCACAGACTCACTCACATAGAGACCCACAGACTCACCACACACAGAGACCCATAGACTCACTCACATAGAGACCCACAGACTCACTCACACACAGAGACCCACAGACTCACCACACACAGAGACCCATAGATTCACCACACACAGAGACCTATAGACTCACCACACACAGAGACCCACAGACTCACCACACACAGAGACCCACAGACTCACTCACATAGAGACCCACAGACTCACTCACATAGAGACCCACAGACTCACCACACACAGAGACCCACAGACTCACCACACATAGAGACTCATAGACTCACTCACATAGAGACCCACAGACTCACTCACACATAGAGACTCATAGACTCACTCACATAGAGACCCACAGACTCACTCACACATAGAGACTCACAGACTCACTCACACAGAGACCCATAGACTCACTCACATAGAGACCCACAGACTCACCACACACAGAGACCCATAGACTCACTCACACAGAGACCCATAGACTCACTCACATAGAGACCCACAGACTCACTCACACACAGAGACCCACAGACTCACCACACACAGAGACCCATAGACTCACCACACACAGAGACCCATAGACTCACCACACACAGAGACCCACAGACTCACCACACACAGAGACCCACAGACTCACCACACACAGAGACCCACAGACTCACTACATAGAGACCCATAGACTCACTACATAGAGACCCACAGACTCACCACACATAGAGACCCATAGACTCACTCACAAAGAGACCCACAGACTCACCACACACAGAGACCCACAGACTCACTACACACAGAGACCCATAGACTCACTCACACAGAGACCCATATACTCACTCACACAGAGACCCATAGACTCACTCACACAGAGACCCACAGACTCACCACACACAGAGACCCATAGACTCACTCACATAGAGACCCACAGACTCACTCACACATAGAGACTCATAGACTCACTCACACAGAGACCCATAGACTCACTCACACAGAGACCCATAGACTCACTCACACAGATACCCATAGACTCACTCACACAGAGACCCATAGACTCACCACACACAGAGACCCATAGATTCACTAACACAGAGACCCACAGACTACCTCACACAGAGACTCACTCACACAGAGACCCACAAACTCACTCACACAGAGACTCATAGACTCACTCACACAGAGACCCACAGACTCACTACATAGAGACCTACAGACTCACCACACACAAAT